TCAACCGGATCATTCATCTCGACGGATCAATATTCAACAATCGATCGTGAATCCTCGAGTATCCGTGATCGTCTAGCGGTTCAGATCTTATGTTGTGACTGTAGTATCAGATTCGAATTCTAATCGCGGTAAATACATTTTCACAATGAAAATTCCTTTTTGTTATTTTCTCGGATATCGAACTTTTTATTTAAACTTTATTAAGATCGGAAAAATATTGATACAATTTTTATCATTGTGAAAGTATTTCTTGAATATTAAAGTAATGATTATATACTAGAATAATTTCAAACTGCAACACATATTTATATTATAATTGGATGCGCATGTTAATCATCGATCATCCGCGAATATGCATGCGAAGAAACTTCCCGATGTTTTTGATCTGATAAGTATTTGCTCTTCGTTGAGCACCTAATCTTTTCAAGTCTTTTCGAAATTTAATTTTACGAGATTTACTTCCTCGTGTCGGGCGAAAACAAATTGAACATCTCGCTTCCTTGCTCGACAGACGCAGAGCTGTCTCGTATCTTCTTTTTCTGTATCTTTCGCTGATGTATTATCTCGAGGAATTTGTGTCGCAGATTTATTTATAAATTCTATCGTTAACGACAAAAATATATTCGGTTCAATATGCTCTACAAAACTAAAATATTTAATTGACGGAACAATTAGAGTTTGCGAGATAAAAATTATACACATACAGCAACATGTCGATTAAGATATCAAGAAGAAACGTCTCGAGTTTTTCGTTGCTCATTTTAGCCCGCGCCGCACATATGAATATTATTCAGTCTAGTCAAATATTATGTTTCTGCTGAAACGCGCCGCGACTCTCGTGTCGGCGCGAAAAGGAACTCCGATGTTGCTCTCCTCGACCGTCGTCGGCTCTTTCGCATATAATACGGGCATTAAGGTGTGTTTCTCTTGGCAGAACTCCACCGTCTTGGTCTTCGCGCGGCTAACATACGTTATTATCTCGTAGAATTCGATTTTCAGTCTCGCCGCGCCGTGCCAAGATATTCTTGCGGCCTTCTTCGCACCTTGTCGCGATCGAAATCCCGATGCTCGATGGCGTAGATGCGCTTAAACCGGTTGCCGATCGTAAGACACACTCTTTCGACCACTTATCTGTCACACGAGATAGAGACATACCTTCGAAGACGAGCTTATCTTTGGCCAGTCCACATGTCTTCACAAACATGCCCTGTCACCGGCCAGAGTCTAAAACATTCAAATATTATAATATCTACATGAAATTAGATTTAATTTATTTATAATTATTTTTTATGGTTGGAAAAAATATATAACACTTTTATAAGATTTTTTTTTAAATTTAAATAATGAAGCTTGCAGAGAAGGAGTGATCCAATAAAATTGTTAGAATTTGCAATTTGCATCAATATATATCGAAAAAGACGATTTTATCTTCTGTGAATCCGTAAACTGCGAACAGTCTTTAAAACAAGAACAGGGAAAACGAGGCGATAAATGTCGATGATGAAAGTTGATATCGAGTTGATTGCTTGATCTTCGAGCGACTTTGAATCATCAAATATATTCAAGGAATAACAAGATTTTTAACATGTTCATTACGTCAGACCAATAGGATTTATAGATAATAAATATGGCGAGACGCAAAGCACACTAATTATAATTACCGAAGCGTGTGTAAATTGATTTCGCGAGTAATGATGTTAATGTATGTAGCTCGAATAAATGCACCATCCTGCGCAAAGCGACGAGGAACAGCATATTTCCAACAGTGTATCTCTCTGTAATTATGTTAACAACGCTTCCTACGAAGATTGCCGCGCATATATATAAGCTTGGTGATCTAATTATAAAATCAACGAGGGGGATGCACGCGAGAGAGAGAGAAAGAAAGAAAAGAAAGAGAGAGAACGCGATTCGAAGAGGGCTCGGATTTATTGGCTCGTGCCTACTAAATCGTTAGACCGCTTTAATGACCGCACGAACGCGGTTAGGAGCTCTCTTTATCAGCATCTATAAATTTTATCAGTTGGAAATGCTTAGTGCGTCAGCGGTTGAAAGAAGGATGGGCGCTATAGGAATGCAACTGGACGGATCATCAATATCGAGATACGGGCTATTCCAGATTTGAAAACAAAAAAAAATGCTTCGACAAATTTATTAGTTTGTTTCTGATCGGAACGCTGCTTGGAATATGATAAATAAACTCCGACTAAAAAAAATCTCGTCGTGTTTTTACATTACATAACGAGAAGTTCTAATGAAAAGAGTGTATAGTTGAAACGAGATTGGAATTGAAATGTCGAGGAGGAGCAAGTGCCAAAGCTACGGACGCACATTCTCCGCTTTACGATTCGCTAACAGCTTTAAAGAGTACGTAAACGAGCGTCGATAAGTCGAGATTTCAATTAAGTACGCGTTTCGAGCTTTTCGAAGACCGAGAAAGGGAGAAACAATTAAGCGGCAACACTATTCACGTGTTGCCTGTGATTTTTTCCTATTTATATTATCACAATAATTAAAGGCGTAATGCACACTTAAGCTTGAGTTATACATCTGTGATATCGAATTGCAATTTATTCATTTTTTTTTCGCGACGAGCCGGTTTTCGAGATCGTTGCCTTTTAATAGTACGGGATCGTGTACGACTCGATCGATGTTTTCAAGTTTTTAAATCAAGTTTAAACTTTTCAATTACAATCTGTGTCGTTGCTTTACGAAAAATCTCTTTACAAGTATTAATTAATTTAAATACAATTTATTTGCATGAAAGATCGAGTTTGACAAATTAGGAGCGAAAGAGATGCATGTGACAGTTTCACGAATAGATAAGAGATATTATATATGCTAGACGGTCGATTATTTGACTTGAAATTAATATTTCGGAAAAATTCCTGTATCTATGTATATCTCGCGCCTTTCAAAATTTAAGAGCTCGCAGATCCGCAATAAATTCATCGGTGAGAAAAGCGTCTGTCAACGAGACAAATATCCACCGCATAAATATTACTCTTTTTTTTTTTTTTTGTCGCGATATAGAGGGCAGGGATTTACTCTGTGACGTACACCCTGTTCTCGTTGGCGGTATTCTTTTCGCCTTCTTTTTTTTTATTTCCGTGCATCCAGGAGCGACACACGAGGGTCCCCATAGAATCTGAAGATGGAACCGGATGCATCTGCAAGGGGGTGCAGTCACATAAAAGATTCATTTCTTCCTCGGCTCCTCATCGCGGTGAAAAGTCATTTTGAACCATATATATATATGTATATGTTTTAAACGGACAGCTGAAGCTTCAAGGCGACAAGTCAAGGGCGAAAATATGATGGAGCAAAGATCGTAATAGAGATAAACTAAGCATCGTTTGCAAAATGAATCATTCTATCTCGGGAATTTAATTTTACTCTCGCGTCCTTTTTGCATTGTTTGTAAAAAAAAAAAAAATGTGGACCCTCGTATGTACGAGAATTTTCTCATCGTCGCATCTCGAGCGAGAAGAAGCGCGAAACTCAGACGAGCGTAATTATTCCATCATGAATCAACGACGGCGCATGCCGGTTATATTATCGCGCATTAAAATGTAAACCACATGCAGCAGATCGTCCTAAAGCAGCGGTTCTCATTATCGCGAGTTTATTAGTATTCGCGCGTATTAATAGGAACTAATAGGAAATTAATAGGAACACGAGAATGTTGTCGCGCGGCTTTTCAATTTTCCTCGATCTGAAAACTAACTCACGCGTAATAACGTAGACTTAATCTTGAATGAAAAATCATCTCGTTGCGGTAGGCGCTCCATTATCGGTTGTATCGCTAAGCCATCATCGATAATCGATTGGGAAACCGCCAGCGTTAATCGAGAGTTTCGTCTTTAAAAAAAAAGAAAAAGGAAAAAAAAATTCTGCGCACAAAACGAATATCCGATCTCTTCGAAATGAAAGAGGTATGTATATGGTGAAATTATCGGCCAGCATCGCGCGCTTAATTAAATCGTTCGACTTAAGTCAATGAGCGGAAGAAGAGCCGGCTCGTTAGCGGATAAATTCAAGCAGTCGATAGGGATCGACCGATTTTAAATGTTCAAAATCTACCGACGGATTCGATTAAAGCGCGAATCGATGCTGATCGTATTATTAATGCCGTATATCCTTTCTGGGTAATCACTGAATGCGTCGATTACGACGGGATGATAATATTCGTCGTGCTGATTTTGTTTGAATATTTCATGAATAAGGGAATCGCATTTTTTTCCTCTCTTTCTTTCATACAGACAGGGCTTTTAACAAAATTCCTCGACTCGTTATTGAATATCTATGATATGAATCAGGATCTTTTGATTTAAAAATCAAATTTTTGTCTTCTGTGAAAAGAATCGATATCAGCCTTCTCGAATTTATTGATTAATTCTGACACATCCGAGTGTAATTTTGCTTGCTAAGATAATGTGGATAAATTGCAGCGAATCAATAACAGATAAATTGAAACCGATATACTGATATCTTTTTATATAATAATAGTGTGCAAATCGAAGGCTCCGTAAACGGTGTTATCATGATGGAACTGCAACACTGTTGATGATTCAGAAATCCAGTTCGAGGATTTCACGACACGAGAGGGAACATGTCGATTAATAAATTTAATCCTTTTTTTTTACCGTACGGGATAGTGGCATATATAAATATCATTAAAACATACATAAATAACATTAAAAAATTGCCGCGTGCGGGCAATTGCTTTCGATGAGATGAAAGTGAAATGCAAGAGGATTCCGCATAGCTCGAGAGCAACAGGTTTATTCAGTCGACAAGTTCTTTTCTGCTCTCCAACTTCTGCCCTGTCAGCTTCTGCCTCGCATTCCTGTCCTCCATATGTATCGTAAAAGTATTTGTTATATTGTTTACATCCGTGGAAAACGAATTCTCGAATATTTCGAAAACCAGTCTCTCTGAATTTTTAATTCAAGGATCTTTAAAAAAAAGTCGCAGTTTTTCTTCAATAAAAATTGAGGTTTGAATAATATTTCAGTTACTTTAATCAAACGTTCGAAAAAGTTGTAAAAAAATACAGAGTTTTTTAAAAAATGATATAAAATCCAGACAAATCACACTTTTCTCCGGAAGCATCGGGCGAAGCTTAATTTGCCTCTGATGCGACGACTTTACTTTGTTACGCGACAATGAGTTTCAATTAAAATGTCGAGTTAATAACATGCAATTAAATATCGTGCAGCTGTATGAAGATTCTGACAGGGAGACATGAATAAAAATAGAAAAAGGTTGTCGTGCAATTAGATGTCACGATTGCAAGTCGGTTGAGTATCACATCGCGAGAGAATCATGCGAACTCTTCGATCTCCTCGAGCCTCCATTCGAAATCCTCCATGTCAAAATGATCGTCCGATTGTTCTCGCAGATCAACACCGTCCTCGAGGTTGTTATCGGGAATCAAACGAATCACAAAGTTGCTTCTCCAGTAGCGTCTCCATCGATGACCGTGCAATCTGTAATACGAAAGAACAGTTATTATATTTCGCAGTTTATTTAATTATTAATTATATATAGACAATATATATATATATATTATATATAATTAATATACTCTATATTTATAAATAAATTATATATATAATACTAATGTCAAGATTTATGTTCGTAACGACAGTATAGGTAAACACTTTCTAATTATCTTTTTAATAATTGACATTGCCTCAAAATGCATATCACAACTCGCCAAACTTTAATAATCACATGATCGTGCCTTTTGCACGCGTAATACCTTAATTAACTCCTTTTCCATATTAACGACCGCGTTTTCATCTGCGAACAGACGTGGCGCACGAGCTGATTTGAGCCGAACGGCTCCCTTACCTCCCTAACGTAATTATCCATCGCCAATAAGCTATCAGCGTCAATAAGCAGGTTGGTAACATGGCGACTATCATCCACGGTATCTCGTAAAAGCCGTTTCGCAGCAATGTCTTCAAGGCCAAGGCGCATACGTAGCAGGAAAATGCAGCCACGGGCGTGGTCATCACCAAGTACCCGATATCGAGCAACATCTCAAAGGAACACGCATTAAATAACGAGGTGAATTGTCAGAATAATTAAGAGTTTAATCATAATATATTCAGGTCGCGATGTTCGAAAAGATCATCTTGTAGATCAGCTTGTAATACGATTTCAATTTTACTTGATGCGCCGTGTATATGTATATACATATAGATAAAATTTGTATGTATTCAGTCTTTCATGGTTTTGTGATAACTCTCTTTTACGATATTATCTCTACCGCGATTTAAAGATGATTGACGAAGTCACCAGATTTACATCTGATATAATTAATATTTATATCACGCGTGTCAAAAGAGATGTAGTCAAATCCGGCTTCGAGAGTTCAGATCAGCAGGAAAAGAGGGAAGGGTGAGGATGCGAGAGTGAACTCACTTGTCGAGTAGCTAGTACGGTGTGGAACCATATTAAGACACTTCGAAAAAGGCTGTAACGACGTACCCTCTTCGTCGCGTATCTGTAGCCGCAAAGCTCGCATCTTGCACGACCGGATTCGGTTAGCCATCTCTCGAGACACTCGGCGTGCACCAGAGCTACTGTACCTCGGCATCTGTCGCGTCATATTAAACGAAACATTCCAAAAAAAGACATTTATATTTTTTTAGATATGGAGTATTAAATAAAAAAATAATGAAAATATTTGAAAATTTTTTTTACTTTTTTATATTAATATTTTTATATTAATATATTAATTACTATTTTTTTTTATTATATTATTAGTAATAAATATTAATATAATGAAAAATATTAACAAAAAAAATTCAGATATTTTCATTATGTTTTAATCTTCAAACATGATTTATATAATTGATACATCATCGACTCGAGAAAATTAATGTCTGTGAGAATACCTATCATTTCTTTCCATTATAATTTATTCGCATAAGTCCGAGGTCAAAGATCTATAAAGTTCTATTAATCTGTCCGCAGAATAATATTTAGCTTTCTATAATAAGCCGAAAACTCACTTGCAGGCCGAGATCAAAGGACCGAGATAGGTCAAGTTTGGCGGTGCCGATGACCGATCTGTCTGATTTTGCAAATCGCATGACGAATGATTTTCCGTGATTGCGGCATATTCGCCCATATGACAGATTCTACAAATATCGCCGGAGGCAACGCACGCATCTAAAATAATTTTATCCATAATATCATGAACTGTTATTTCGAAATAAGTTTATATTAATAGTACACATGTTTTAATATTTGATTACGAATCGTAACGTAATTTTTTTTTTTTTAACAAAGACAATTTGAAGTAAAACATACCGTCCTTATCTCGTGATTTCGTATCGAGGCATTTCTCATTTTTCTCATCTGTTTCGACATTGGATTTAGATTCCGCGTTATCCAATATATGGTTTGTTTTGAGCCACACCCGAATTTCTTCCTTCAAGGGATTTCTCGAGCTTACTTTCGTAACAGATTTATCAGGTTCGTTTGCCACTAACAAATAATAATGCAATAATAAGATATCATTATTTTCGCAACAGATTTATCAGGTTTGTTTGCCACTGACAAATAATAATGCAATAATAAGATATCAAACATTACATGTAATTTTGATTTTAAAGGAAGATATAAATATTTTAGGAAACATAAGCAAAAGAAAAACAAAAATTTTATTAAAATGGATTGAAATTATTTTAAAAATTCTCGATCGTATGTTATAACCTAATATAATTAACCTTTTGAAAATCAGATATTTCTCCGATAAAAAAAGTAAATAGCTAACCTATGTCGTTCGTACGTCCGCTGCCATTTTCGGATTCCTCATCCTCGACGTGTGACATCAAAAATGTTTTGCGCGCATTTTGATGTACGCGCTTTCAGAAAAAATTGCAAATTTTTCTTCAAGACTTATCAGTGATTTTCGCGATAGACAGAGACGTCTCGGTTATATCTGTTATATTATCAAGTCATATCGGCGCGATCGATTTTTTCTCAAAAACAATCGATTATTAAATCTAAAATCGACACATGCATTAATTAAAAATTCCGACAAATAAATTAAATTTAAATTTATTTATTAATTAAGTAATCTATTTAAACGAAATAATTATCTATTTAATAGATAGATAAAATTATTATTTATTTTTAATAAAATTATACTGTAAATTTCCGAAAGCAAGTTTGCAAGCAGTCGTCATGAATACGCGTGAAAGATGTATTTATGGCGATGGCGAGCTTTGATGTTGAAGACGATACGAAATTTCATGGTGGCCGGCTTCATCCATGGCAAACAACAGTACGCGAATAACTACCCTGGAGAGAGGGAGAGCAAGGCAAGGCGCACCTCGCATTCTTATCGTTCGCTCTTATCGTCTCGCGTTCCTTGCAACCGCACCGAAACGGCTTATCTCGGCGCACGCCACTCACACGCGAGATTAAATGTTACGGGCACACTTTCATGTACATCTTCATTTTTCATACGCGTTATTATTATTTTTTTTGTTTTGTTTTTTTTTGTAGTTCTTAGGGACCCATGGTTTAGCGCGCCGATAAAATAATCTCGTTTCTAATAATAATAAGAAACCCAGGCAATTAAAATTCATGCATGCAACGACGTAGCAAATCGACGTGATTTGTTTCGATAGAGCGACGGGATTTTTGTAACCTTCGTACATTATTATGCCTCAAACAGGAAATTGGGTTACTAATTGCGAAGTCAATTGGTCAATAGCGCGCGGTCATTTCTCAAGCCGAAGAAGAAGTCGCAGACTCATTCCCATCCCTTTGAACGAAGCAACCTTCCAAGTTGCGTGATAGCCCGACGACATTAACTCTCCCTTGATTGCAGCAGTCGTTTTAAACTGTATACGTCGTGTAGCTGCCAACGTCAATTAAATCGAGATCAACTGAAACTTGCTTGCTATGAGACGTGAAAAGACGCGTGAAAGCTTTATTAATGGATTCAGGGGCTCTTCTTCTCAAGACTCTCGCTGGAAATTTCCTCCGGCGGAAATGCGCGTATCCGATCCACGGGATCAGTCACAATCACCGTTTCGTTTCGTCCGCCGAACGAAAGCGGCCCGTGTTTTTGGCCGCGGACACGTTTCTCGTAGGCGGGAGATTTCGACGCCGGTCCAGAGTGGAATTCTTCTTTTTTGTGAATACTTCCGCGGTCGTGCGCGCGAGATATTTCGGAATCGGTTTCCGGTACCACCGCGAAATATAAATCCGGCCCGTGTACGCGATACGGGAGGACGGTTATTATTAGCTGTGCGAGTCGGCCACTTTTCGGAATCTACGTTTCGCGGATATCCGTTGACCTGGTGAATTAATAAGAGAGGAGATCTCTCGCGTTACTTTACCTGGCAAGCTCCAGCGAAAACGATGGGCGGCAAAGAAAGGGAAAGGAAGGATATTTCGTATCTTATATCGTAAATCTTTTAACTGAAATATATGTGCTCCCATTGGCGATAATTTTGGCGAAATAAAGATTTATCGCCGGAAACGCCGAAATGTAAGATGATATATATTGAAACTGTTTGACAAGTTATTTAATTGCTTGTTAATTATTTAATAGAATTTATCTTGTTTGATCAGGGTGTCTAGCGGTCAAGGAAATCTGGAAAACCAGACATTGTCAGAGAATTTGATAAATCTGGAATTGTCAGGGAAAAGTCAGGTACTATTTATCTGGATTTTTTCTCAATAATTTGAAATTTTTTATTAAATAAATATAAACTTTTCCTTGACTCCCAGCACGCTAATTTTCTGTATTAAAAATCGATTCGCTAATTTATATTTTCATCATCGTGTTATCTTATTTCAATGTGTTTGATAGAGACAAAACTAAAATATTTGATATAATTAAATAAAAAAGGTGATTATTTAAATAAGTGACATATTTGTTTCGATTATCGTACATAATGCAGATTGTATAATTGATTAAAATTTTTGTTTTTTTAACTTCCGAATCTTTTAATTGATTTATCATATAGATATATGCAAATTATATATTTCGAAAAAATAATACTAAAAATACTAAAAAGTCAGGGAAAAAATTCATTTCTGGTCTTGGAAAATCTGAAAAAGTCAGGGATTTTTTTTCATTGAGTCTGCTGGACATCTTGTTGACATTTATTATTAAGGAGATTACATAGAAATTATCAGAGTGTCGATCGAATGAATCGAATGAGGTTTTCATCTCCGGGAAGTCGAAACCTTTGGTGACGAGATAGCGGTTGGCAGGTGCCAAGTCTATCTCGTTTATTCCTTCATTAATTTCCATCTCTCTCTCTTTCTATCTCCCTATCGCCTCATCTGTCTCTCTCGTGCTCGCGTATATATATGGAGGAAACTTCAAGTCCGTGGAGCCGCCATGGCTGCTATTTCTGCCAGGTGGCCGATGCCCGAGTCTAACCGACCGTCCGTCCGCCATTTTCTCACTCGACGTTTTTGGTTCAAGATTAATTAAACGCGGCTGGAAATAGTTGCGGTCGTCAGAGGGTCCGCGAACGGGGAAACGAAGGAAGAGAGAAGGAGCAGACGAAGGGGTCCATAGCGCAGCAGTGGACCTCCACGCACGGTTGGATATCCGCGGTGCGCGACGTTAATCTTCTCTCCTGCCAGGAGCAACCGAGAGCAAATACTTAGGTCGCGATCGGGACCTCGTGAGAAATTCCATCGCGCATTTTTCTGTCTTATTCAGATGCGGTAATTTATTACCGCAATTATCGTTGCTTGAATCTATAACGAAACGATGTATAGGAGAAGGCCGTCTCCTTGAAAATTTATGATGGAAATATCCAGTTAATATGCGAGCACTTGAAAAATTTCAGATCCGATCGCTAAGCAATATTTATTATAAAAACGTAGATATTTGAGAATCGTCAGACGAAATTAAAAAAAAGTAAGACTTCTCTCGACCGTACTGGCAAATATTATTTATTAAATCACAACGTTTCGACCCTTCTTTGAGTCCTTATCAAGTGATTTGTGAAAATAAAAATAGTCAAGAACGAAGAGAGACAGTCTCTCATAACTCGTCTAAGAGTCTTGACGTGTTGTCAAACCGACACTATGTTCGTTCTTGACATCTTCAAATTATAATTTTATTTTTATTTTCACAAATCACTTAATATAGGGACTCAAAGAAGGGTCGAAACGTTGTGATTTAATAAATAATATTTGCCAGTACGGTCGAGAGAAGAGTCTTAATATTTCTTTTATTATACTCATCGCGAATTCGATATTGATCTTTACCTATTCATCGAGTTTATCGCCTCTGTCTTCTTCGTCACGTGTTTTGAAGTCGCAACAGCGGCTTGAGGATAGGCGCAAGTGTCGCAGAATGAAAGTGACCGGGCCTCTTAGATGAGCCGGGGATGGACCAAGGCTCATCTGGGGCACGCTGGGTCACGTTCAAACTGAATGGATCTGGAGGCTCATTCATAATCGATACACTCGCGTGATTCCAACCTGGTGCCAACGAGTATTCATTGAGCTACAAGATATTCCAGAAACCTTAACCTCTCGAATGCGCGAGTATCAATCCGCTTTACTAGATCTTGTCGTCCTCACTACAAGTCTCCGTATTTGTCGAGAGAGAAACAGAAATCTTGTACGATCATCTGTACGAATTTAATATGTTTATTTATCTCGCAAAATTTCTCCAATTTCACATTCATATCGAGCGCAAACGTTCAGACATCAATGACATTTGCGAACGCGCAGAACTGACGTTTAACGTCGCACGTGTTTCAAAGGGAGAACCGTGTTAGGGCTCGGAAACAAGCTAAAGATAGCAGCCCAGGGGTCACTCCGCGGTTTCTTCCCGCTTTCTCGCTCACTCACTCTTCAACCTTCTTCCTTTTCTCGTTCCCTCTTTCTTTCAAGATCGCAATTTATAGAAGCACTCGGCACCTGTCACCTTTCCGCGACTCATCGAGGACGCGCGCATTTTGCCCGGGTCCCAGGAATAGCCGACGTGTCCGAGGGAGAAGAAACGCAGAGGCGAAAGGAGCAGAAAGAAGAATACCTTGAGACATTTCGCCGTGTCGCTCGCGGTTTCGGAACAACGCGTGATTGGAGCGGCGGAATCTTCCAGAGAAACTGGAAGGAACCTCGTCTCCCATCGACCGTGTTACTTTGATATAGTTTGATATAGTCAACAACTTTCCGAGAGAAAGAGAGTGACAAAAAGTCTAAAAAAGTGGAAGGATTTTTATAATTAACAGATATAATTAGAAAACATGCCTGATATGAAAATAATAATTCCAAATTAACTGATTATTATTTTAGTTTTTTTTAAATTTTAAATATGCTAAGGATTGATTATATCAAATTACACAGAGAGAATTTTCTCTTTACCCTGAAAATCGTGATAATTGTGAAACAATGGTATTGGAAGAATTTTATAAGAGTTTCTCTGATTATATATAATATTTATAAAAATATTAATATGTACGTAGTAAAATTAATCGAACATGTTTTATTTTTTGTGGTATAGATATTAATATTTTGTATTGTGGTGAATATTAATCATTGCAGAGACTCTTATAAAATTCTTGCAATTATTGTCCCACGATTACTACGATTTTCAAGGTAAATTGTAACACGCAGAAAATTCTCTCCATGTAAGATTATATAAAATATAAACATTTAAAAATAAATTTCGAATAGTTGTAAAAATATATATAATATATGAATAGATCAAATTATTTGAATATAATTTTCGTGCACAAAAGTCTTTTAACGAGACTTTTTCTGATATTTTTCATATTGCATTGAATTTTATCCATTTACATCATCATAATAAAAACGCCTTTTCAATAGTTTTCTAGATTTCGCAGTGTCGCTAAAAATATCGAATCCATTTCGAAATGTGTCCCTCAACCACTTTATTCTTCCTAATTAAAAAGAATAGAATTTGATTAAAATAAAATAACTCGATAATGAATTTAAGGCAATCGGAAATGATTAAAAGTCTAGTTTACGCTCTTCCGCAGGCAGGCGCGAGCATAAACGTACGCATAGGTCGGTGTAACGTGCGTTATACTACACGTATAACGCGTACGCTTGGCTTCTGGTTACATGATGAACACTCGTACACGTACTTAGTACACGGAACAGCGAGCGCGAGCGTTTACAGGAAGCGCACCTCTGCGTGACCCGCACAGACCCTTTAAGTATTAACGACGACGCTCCACGGCCCTATACGTGATCCTCGTGCTTACAACGCGATTGTCGTGTCCGTTTCACAGCTTTGGATTATATCGTAACTAGATAGATCGTA